CAGGGCTGTCCAACTGGCGGCCCGCGGGCCGTATACGGCCCGCCAAATAATTTTTACGGCCCCCGAGTACATTTTACTATGAATAAATTTATGTTACTAAATTATTATTATTAATATTAAAATTATTTTACTATGTGAAAATTTAAATCTAATTTGAATTTAAAGTAGGTACTATTTAGTTTGCGTAACTTCACTTAACCTGGCTGAATACAGCAGCAACCTTTTTGGCCCCCGAAATGTTTGGTGAAGAAAATATGGCCCGCGGGCTATGATAAGTTGGACAGCGCTGATATACACTAAAAATAAAATTTGCGATTTTGACTGTAAAAAAGCAATCGTATCCTAAAAATATAATATTTTCGCTGTTATATTTTAAAATTGAAATGCAAGTATAAAAATATATGAGTGAATACAAAAACTTAAATCATAAAGAATTTTTAAGAGAAATTGACACCTATTTACGTGTTATATACAAGAATTTAAAAAGATCATGTGTAAGGAGTGAATCACGAAAGCAGCTACCAGTTTTGAAGTGATGTATCCAATTGGCCACAGCAGTGATCGAAAATTAAGCTTTTAAACAAAATGAAGTGACTAATTGCAAAAAATATATCCTTGTCTTGATTTCCATTATCTACTTAAGAGATTTTTACCATACTTTCTTATACAATTATTGATATTATCTGTTAAAGTGTTGCATGAGTGGAAAAGTGTTTTCTAGTAGTATTATTCGCTCAGTTCGTATTGCATTAGGTTTAAAGTATTTAAAATCCGTCCATACAGTACAATTCAACAAGGACTGCTTTTTAGATAAGCAAACGATTTTATATAGAACTAGTTATGCGACTTCTACAAATTACACTAAAGTAGTATAATAAAAGTCACATAGCAATTTCGATGTAAGTAATATAAGATATGTAATTGTAAAATAAACGGGTATATTAGTATCATGCCAAGATTAAAAATACATAGAAAAATTTACTCACATTATTCCATGTAGCCGTAACATTTTTCATCCATATTCCACATTCATTTTGTTTCGTCTTTTCATTTGCAATTTCGCCTGAATTATTTTCTTTTTCTTGAAGAAGAAGAAAGTCCTAAATAAAGTAACCAAATATTATTATGAATAGGAAGATATTGAGTATAAAGCTATTTAAGAAATTTTCAATAAATGATTAACACTTAAATCAATACATCGTATTATTTCTATTGTTTTACCTGTACAAAAGAGTCTAATTTTCATATAAAGGAGTATATAATACAGATTCATATTATAATACAAATTATTATAAGAAATTCAGAGGGAAAACTATACGATAAACATTAGTACATTTAAACACTGCGGTATTGTTTTTTATTGTATTGTAAATTTAAATTTACTTAAGCTAACTATTTGTATAACATTCTCAGCTTTTGTTGTGAAATTCTAGACACATCGAACACAATATCTATTCAGTAATTAATTATTGTCGATTAGAGAAGTAAAGTAATAATATAGGTAACTTAGAGATAATGTTAGTTGAACATATTCAGTGTTTCTCTACTATTCTTTAGATACAAAACGAAGTACGACAAAATAAATAGAATGTAAAGAATGTTCCGTCATAATTTTAATGCAAATTTTAAAACACGGGGCACAATAGATTCGATGTGGTTCATGTTTGTTCGGCACCACGCGATATGTTTGATATCACATGAAGAAGGGGAAGATGTGCTTGCGATTCAGATAAAGATGAAAGTTATTTTGTGTACGTACGTTCGCATGTACATGTATGTACAGTACGTTCTCAGATAAAAAGCGTAAGAGAAAACATTATATGTACTACAATAAAAATTAATTCAATTAACAATATATAGGCTAAAGTAAAGTCTTACGAAGTTAGCAATGTATTATCACGTACTTACCCACGATATCACGAAATAATCATCTGTATTTGTATAACTATATTTATAACGATAAAAAGCAACACTGTAATCTAGAGATAATGGTGCAATATATAGTATTGTTAACATTACCATTTACGAAATGTATCTCCGATAATTAAAGAATAATTAATTTTTATCACGAATTTACCAATGTTTATTCCATAATGGTTTATTAAAATAAAAAAGTGTGATTATTTTAAAATACATAAAACAGCGTTTAAACCAGTAACAAGTAAAATTAATTAAAATCAGATAACAGAAATTATTTTTCTTANTTAAGATATCATATCTTTTCCTAATATAAACTCTAAGAAACTGTACCACTCGCAGCTGAATATCAAATAGCAATCTGCCAATGGTAATCAATCAAATTTTGCGAAAAATGGATCATATATTTAAATTCAGCACCCTCGAAAACCATTTAAAACGTATTTTATGCTGACCGGTAACATTGTATTATACAATTTTTCTATTAAATGCCATCATATCGCTTGTCCGATAAAAATGAGTCTGTTGTGGAAGGAGGTCGAAGTAATTCGACCAAAAGTAGCCGTTGACCCCCTCCCGAAAGAGAGAATGGTCAACGACTGTTAATTAATATTTGTCTACTATTAATAATTAAAAAGTGATCAGTGTTTGATGGATTGTGATGACTGCGCACGTAATCGAAGTTGTTAACCTTAACGCTAGAAAGACTTCATATGATTTGTTCAAATAAAATATCTTGTAAAAATGTGTTAATATTTATGTTTATGTGATAATAAAGTGTTTACATTTTTGCAACAAACTACGATTGAAGGTTGTTCTCGTAAATATCGCGTTCATAGAAAAATTATCAGGCTGCAATTTGAAAAAATTGTAGACCAATAAATTCGGACTGATGTCCCTCGTCTATCTGTATGCCTGTCTGTCCTTAAACTCGAGAAATGTGTTATATAGACGAAAGTCGAGACCAGATATGGTTTGGAGCAGGAGACCTAGATTAACTATATATGAAATTTTTATGCAAACCGAAAGTCACGTTACATCAGAAAAAATCAGTTCAAAATGAGTTCTCTGAACGAAATTAGATAGATGATCGACACAACTCTATTGCTAACAGGAAAAACTATAAAGTACAGAAGCAAAACACCATTAAAAAGTTGAGAACATTGTGACAAAAAGTTGCAGCCTGGCATTGTCACGATGTCACAATAAATAATCGTTCGTTAGAATTAGTTTCGTTTATTTGGTTAGGGCAACGTGCCAGATGAGCGATAAACCAAGGGAGATCCATCCCGAAAAGACTTTTATGGAAAGCTGGATTTTATTTAAGTGTTACTAACGTGAAGAAAACAAAGCTTTCAGAAGTTGCGTTAAAGTTCTGTTACTGGTTAAAAAGGTTTGTTTGTGTTTAAATAAGGCGAATTCGTACTTTTGGGAATTTTCTTTATTATTAACTATATTTCAAAAGATTTTCTTGCGATTTTAATTTTAAAAAAATTAGTTGTTGATTTACGTTCGATTAATACATTCCGTTTGTTCATTCACAATCTATTGAAGCTGTGTAAATCAGCAAATCGAATGGAGATAAAAATTAATTAATTTATAGAAATCCAATAAATAGTTTCGGGTGCGATGTTCGACATTATCTAATTCAGCGGTATGAGAATGTAACTGCCGAGTTTCTTAGCATTTCGCTTAACGGTCTAGGCGTATATAGCAAACAAACAATCAAATATCTAAACTTTCTAATTTATATATATATATATATATA